TGCAAGGGGCCGCGGGTTCTGGCTGGCGTGGGTACTGGTCCGTGCTGAGGCCAGAGGGTGGCGACTCGGGAGGCCCATCCCTTCCCCGGAGAAGCCGAGCACACCACCCATGGCACCAGACGCGAACGCATCAGCTGGGCGCTCCCAGACTCTCCCAACCGGGACACAGGACCCATCTACGCAGGTCTCCCCAGCAGCCCCCCGAGTCCAGCTGACGTCTTTAGGGTTGGAGGTTCTGGCCCTTGCCAGATTCCGGGGCGTGGGTCTGGCCATGGTGAGCTGAAGGTGTGTCCTCGCCTCGGCCGGCTAGCCAGGTCCAGTGAGGCACGGGGAGGTGCCAGCAGGCAGGACACGCGTTAGCCAGCCTGGCACAGCAGAGAGGACTCCAGGGGGCTCTGGGGGAGACCACGGAGGTGCCAGCGAGGGGCCGATGGGAAGGTCTTGTTGCAGAGGAGAAGAGTTGGCTGGACAAGCGTGTCACTACAGAAGGGCAGGTGGATGCCTCACGGCTCTGAGGCCACGGCGTCACTCCATCTGGTGAGAGACGCCCACCCTGCAGCTGCATGTGAGGACCTGCAGGAAAGCCCTGCATTAGGGACATTCTAGGGGAGAAAAATTAAAACCTGCGTTCATTAAGAATATTGATGCTGGAAAAGATAAACCTGCAGAAATCTTGCAGAAATGTCACCAAGATGCAGTCCCTGGCCCTGACGTGCTGGGAAGGAGAGGGAATGCTACCAGCCGACAGAGCTGGAGTTCTGGTGCTGACCGGAGCACCGCGTCGACTTGGGCCTGGTGGGACTCACTGCCCTGTGGTTCTGCAAGAGGGTATTCTCTGAAAACTCACACCAAAGGGCAGAGGCGAAGTGCCCGCATGTATGCAGCTCACTCTCAGATGTTCAGAAAAGTATCCGTGTCTGAAGCTCACATGTAGAGAGGGGACAGCGAGGAAGACGGGGCACTGCGGCCGCCATAGTTGAGTCCGAGTGGTGGGCGGGGGTCTCGCTACACTTTTTCTTAGTTACTCTTTAAGCATAAAATATTTCCAAATAAAAAATCAGAAAAATCGAACTCGGGAAAACAAAGCCACCAGCCCTGAGCTGAGCCCTAGGGGGACAGAGAGGCTACAGGTCCTTGGGGGTCGCAGCGGTTAGGGCTGGGCACGGAGGCCAGCACGCACGAAGGCCTCGGGGACACACGGCCGAGTGTGCACCCACTGAGGTTTGGTTGGTGTTCGCTGCCCAGTTCTGACAGTCTGGCAGACATGGTGTCCAGGGCTCCAGGATGAGGGCCTGGGTCCCCCAGCACAAGCCTCTTTGAGTAGCCAACTGGGGACGTGGGGCAGGGGAGGACCCAGTTTCCGCTGCCAAGATGGTGCCCTGTTGTACCTCCTCCGGAGGGAGGGACTGTCCCTACAGGGAGGGACAGAAGGGCAGGAGTTAGCCCTCTGTAAGGTGCTAGTCCCTTCACGGGGCTCTGGGGCTTGGCTGGGCCTCTCCAGCAGGGGCAAGAGACGAGGCCAGGAGGGGACAGGAGGCTGGAACTGTGGTCGACCATGGGGGATCCCATGCTTTAACCACCACGCCACCTGCTGGCCCTGCAGGCCTCTTAACCTCTTTGAGCCTTGTCTTCACTTCTGTAAAATGGGGACAGCTGTGTCCCTCCCTCGCTGTTACAGTCACCAAATCACACAGTAGCGTGGGCCTGTTTCATCATGGATGTCCTGAGGCGCCTGTGAGGGCCAACCAGGCCTGGGTTTAAGATGCAGAGGAGGGCCAGCCAGCGGCAGGGTGGCTGACAGCTAGATCCCACATGGCAGGCTCGAGTCCCAGACCCCGCAGCTGGAAAAGCACAAGCACACGAAGGTCACCGGAATCCCCAGGGGAGAATGGAAAAGATCGCGGCGTGGCCACTCGCAGGAGCTGCCTTCTTGCCTTCCCTCTGTCTCTGTCTCTGTCTCTCTCCCGTGAGTGCACATGTCATCTGGTAACGTTTTTAAAGAGGGGGCCAGTAGGTGGCATGGTGGCAGTCACTGGACTCCCACATGGCTGACTGGTTCGGGTCCCAGACTTGGGAGCTGTCTTCTCACTTTCTCTGTGTCTCTCTGTCTCTCTCTGGTGAGTGCACATGCCCTAGAGCAAATTTTTAAAATGATAATAATAATAATAAAGAGCAATTCTTTAGGAAAACCAGAGATGGAGAGCGAACTTTGTGACGTCGAGGAGAGTTGGAGCCTGACTTCAGAGGGGCCCGTGACGGTCAATGACAGTGATTGGAAATAAGGGTCCGTACAAGCCACACGCTGGGTGAGAAAATATTATTATTGTCCTCCTCCTCCGTCCCCCAGACTGCCACCCCCTCGGGCCAAAGGCTCAGAGCAATCACGTACACAGGGTTGGATGCACTTGGGTGTTTACTGGGAACGGCCCGGGAGGCCAGGCCTGGGGGGCTCACACTTGCCTGGTGATGTGTTTGGGGGCAGCGAGCTCCTGCAGGCGCGGGGAGGCCCGAGCCACCAGGGAGGCCGGGGAGACGGAGTAGGGGTTGTAGGTCTGGTTGAAGTCCTGGCGCACCTTGGGCTTGGCAAGGGCGATGGTGCGGGGGCTGGCCACGGCCCTCTTGGCGGCGTCCAGCACCTCCCACCGAGGAGCTCGGTCAGGGACGCACTTGTCTGACTGGGCCTTGGGCACTGGGGGGACAGGGACAGCATGGGAGCCACTGCTCAGCATGGCCGCCACACAGGGCCTGGCCCATCAGCGGGAGATGGAGAAGGTGGCCGTCCACACGGGTGAGCGTGACTCAGCCAGGGACCGGGACGGCCCTGACCAGGCCACGCGTGGACGTGCCTTGAACACAGCGTGCTCAGGGAGTGACCCCAGTATGTGAAATGCCGTGAGCCAGCAGGCCCGCGGGGACGGGGTGCAGGGGTGGGAGGGCACGTGTGAAGCTGGTGTTGGTGTCTGATCCCAGGATAGCAGTGGGAGGTGAGGCCCCGGTCAGGGCAGTGAGCCCACAGTGGGTGTGGACAGGGTTCCCTCTGGGGCTCACGCGGGAAGCCCTGCAGTCAGGCGTCTCAGAGCCAGAACCGAGCCCGACGCACCTCTGACTTCCCACGTCACCGGGTCGGGGCTGGGGTGGCGCCGACGCGGACGGAGGGCCAAGACAGGGAGTGACTGCTCATGAGGTGGCGAGAACTGGCCTGGTGGTCAGGGGGCCACCGTGGCTGGAAACCCGGCCCTGGCAGCTTGAAGACACTCCTGGCGGCAGTACGAGAGCACCCAGCCCGGGCAGGCCAGGGCTGGAGGGGACAGGATGGCAGCAGCCATGCCCACTGAGGTGCTCTCTCTCCATTTCTCTCTGGGGACTCACATGCCCTCTGGCAATAAAGTAAATAAACAGAATGGACCGTGGTGGTGCCGCACAGCTCTGTGAGAACAACACAGGCCACTGGATGCAGGCCTGCAGGTGCGTGGAGGTTAAGACAGCTGGAACGCACTGGCTGACTGTGTGGTTCGAGTCCCAGACCCGGAGGCTTGAAATCAAACTAGGTGTGTGTATACATCCACAAATCCAGAGACAATGGGAGAGGGGTTGTGGTGGGCATCTCTGCAACCCCAAGGAACTGCATCCCTTCTTAAGGGTTCTCACTTTCCCTCTTCCTCTCTCTGGCAAGTGCATTGCACTAGAACAAACTAAGAAAATAGGGACCAGCGGTTGACATAATGGCTACGTCATTGGACTCCCATGTAGTCTACCGCTGTTCAAGTCCCTGATCTGGGGGCTTAAACTCACACCGAGCGCGTGTGCGTGTGTGCCCAAGATCCCAAGAGGAGAATGGAGGAGAAGGGATTGCAGCGTGGCCATCCCCCCCTGGGGAGTGATTTCTCGCTTTCTGTCTCTCTCTGTCTTTCTGGTGAGCACATGTGCCCCATAGCAAAAACCTCTCCAAAATATATAAATAAATACATAAAAGTGTGAGTGGTAAGGAAAATGATTTCAAATGGCCACAGGTCACAGAAAGGGAAGAGACCTAAGTGTCTGCAGTCCTCTCCAACCTGGGCCTGGGGAAGGGGCTGGACCCCAGTCACCGTGGGGATGGGCTGGGCGGCGGCTCCCGTTGGGGCTGGGATCTGCCTGCACTGGGCCCCTTGCCACCAGCTCTCCTGGGAAGACGGCCGAGCCACAGCCACGTGGGCTTGGGTCACGGCAGGGCGGCCAACAGGGCATGGATGAGGCCCTCCTGACAGCAAGACCATGGGGACAGCCATGCGCCCGGCGATGGACCCTGGAGGATGGTGGGGGGCGCAGTTAGGGCTCAAAGGGTTTGGGTGGTGGGAAGAGCCTCTCTGCAGAGCCTGAGGGCACGCCTGGAAGGGCCTGTGCCCACACACCACCATGCCTAAGCTCTGGTGGATGAGAGGTCACGCATGCTTGTGTGCACTTAGGGCGGGGTGAGAGGTCGTGGGCTAGCGTGCACTTAGGGCATTGGGAGGAGGGAATTTAATTTGTCTTGGAGACAGGTGGGAAATCAGCCCAAGGCCACTTGGGAGGCACCCTGCACCCCAGCGGGCTCTCCAGTCCCTGCCCCACACCCCAGCTTCCTCTCACCCCGCTCCCAGCTGGACCCCTGGACACAACGCCCTCTTCCTCCGCCTCGGCTCTCTCCCTCGGGTGAGCTCCCTGGCCAGCTCCTGGGGGCTGTGCAGGCCGAGCGTAAATGGCCCGCAGGGGGGCGGTCCGGGCAGTGAGGGAGGTCCTTCCAGTCCCTCCGCCCCCCCGCTGCGGGCAGGGCACGGGCCGCCAGGTCTGCTCACTGGCCAGGTGAAGGAGGCGGCTGTAGTCGGACACGTGCGGCTTGGGTCTCGGCACAGGGTCCCACTCCTCCAGCAGGGGGGCTGGGGCACGGGGCTTTGCCAGCTGGAGGATCCGCGGGGTGGGCACTGCCATCTGGGCCGCCCTGGACACCTGAGACACCTGGAACAGAAGCACAGGGGGTACGGCAGGCGTGGTTCCTCTGGGGCGAGTGGGCAAGGGATGGGCTGGGAAGCGGTTAGTGCCCGCCTTATGTAAAGAGCACCTCCCAATCAATAACCGAAGATGCCAGCAGGAGACTGGGAGGGCGGTACAGGACAGGGAACCAGAGTGGCCCACCCCCCCTGCGCCGGCTACGGAGACGCACACGGGCCGGCAGAGCCCTCCACGGGGGACTCTGCGCCGGCTACGGAGACGCACACGGGCCGGCAGAGGTCTCCACGGGAGCCTGGGGAACATGAGTGCATCTGACAGCGCCCAGCCCTGGCCAGAAGACGAGAGGGGAGCTAGGTGTGGCTGGTAGGAGAGTTAGCACGGGCTCCTCACAGAGCACAGATGAGCCGCATACGCGTGACGGCAGCCGCGCACACCCGCACCGCAGCACACAGTCAGCGCGAGCTGGCTGGACAGCGCGAGGGGCTGCGTGTGCTCCCAGCACAGTGTCACCAGCAGCCAGAGCCCTTTCCATGGAAGTCAGCACGGACCGATCTAGAAACCGAGACTGCCGAGGACGCGAGACGTGACCTGCCGTTTGTCAAGTGTTAAACGCACGTGGCCAGCCAGGGATGGAGTCCTGGCCCCTCGGCTTGAGAATGACACGGGCACACGCGTGCCCAGGGTCCCGACGGAGGGGAAGGGAAAGAAGGGTCGGCACACGCGTGCCCAGGGTCCTAACGGAGGGGCTCCCTGCACGCACCTCTGAGCTCGCTAGCTGCTGCACGGTTATGCCCAGGGTCCCTAACTACCACGTGGGAAGCGCCTCGGGGATAGAACCAGGCCGCCGGCGAGGCGGAGGTCTCCCAGAGCCCAACCTGTCTGCTCCAGAGGTGAGCTGCATTTCCAGAGAACCCCACTCCCAGAAGTCGGTCTGGGGGTCCCCGGCCATGCCCGCCTCTCCTGTGGAGCCCTCTGCCTGCCGAGTGGCCGAGGGGTGGCAAAGCACGCTCCACAGGGCTCTGGCTGGTGCCCGGCCATTCCTGACTTATCTGGGGAGGGAGGAGAGAACGTGAATGCTGGGAAGGTTTGCTCCTGACAAGAGACAAGGCTCTGAAGCCACGTGCCAGGCGTGTGCTCGTTCTGGAAGGAGCTCCTGCAGGTGCGTGGCGGTCCCCGGTTTACGAGAAAGTACGCGGGAGCCCCAGAGGCAGAAGACGAAGTGACACGACCCTGTGGGTCACAGTGGTGCTCGGTCCCTGTCCTCTAGAACGCAGTGCTCACAAGAGCGAGCGTGTGACATTGGTACGGAGCCGGGTCTGGTGAGTGACCGCACGGCAAGAGGCACCGCAGGCCCCAGGGAACGCGTGGGACCACGGCAAGAGCTCCGTATGCCCAGACGGGACATGGGGCCCTCGGGCGCTGCCGGCGAGTGAGAAACGCACAGCCGGTTTAGACAGTAAGCCGTCAGCTTCTGAGAGTCGGACAGACGCAATGACCTAGCGGTCCCGATTCGGGGACCCCCACTGCGGTGATTTACATGTGCCTCCAGAGCTGTGTGCTGACGTTCAGCCATGACAGTATCACAGAGGAAACTTAATTCCATCGAGAGCAGAGGCCTCTGCGAGGGGCTGAGCGCGTAACAGGCGACGCCGTCAGAGTGGGGCCCCAGGAGGGAGTCTGCAGCGGCAGAGACCAGAGTGGAGACAGCAGGGGTGCACACGGGCCTGGGCCTCGTGATGGCTCCAGAAAGTGCCCCCAGGCCCTCCCCAGCTGTGGCCTCTGAGCGGGGAGCCCCCGAGCCAGGAGCTAGGTGACCCTTCTTCATGCGTTCCCCGAGGGCAGCCCGCAGACATCAGCCACCGAGCCCCCACCAAAGCCCACACACGGATGCTCACAGCACCCTCGGGTGCAGCTGGGACAGCCTGAGGCCCCGCGGTAGGCACGCACCGCTGGACTCCGTGGCAGGAGCAGTCTCTGGCCCGCCATGGGACCCCTCATGTGCCACCGGACAGGGGAAGGGGACTGGTGGCTGCCAGGAGTCCCGCGTCAGGCCTGAGCTCGAGAACACGACACCCTCAGTGGGTGAGGGAGCAGGCTTTGATCTGCAGCAGACTAAACTTTCACTTCTTTTAGGTTTTTGCTGTAGGGGTGTGTGCTCACTGGAGAGAGATAGAGAGAAGGTGAGAAATCACCCCGCGGGGATGGCCACACTGCAATCCCTTCCCCATTCTCCTGTCAGGGTTTTGGGTATGCACATGTGAGTTTAAAGCCACTGGGTCCGGGACTTGAACCAGTTAGCCATGGGGTTCCGTGCCTTAACCACCATGTCACTAGCTGACCTCCAACCTTTTATTCTCAAAGCTGAAGTGAGACTATGCTACCCCTTGACATGGACAAAGGCTTAGGGTGAGCCCTGAGCAGGGACGGGGAGCCCTGAGCAGGTCTGGGGTGTGTGGATTTGGAAATGAGCTTTTCCTACCAAGCGCTGTGGGTCCCACCCACCCAGAGAGAAGCCGCACCGTCCCCTCCTGTCCTCCTGTCCTCTGGGTTCTGTCCCCGCCTTCCTCTACCCTCCTGTCCCCTCTTGTCCTGTTCCGTCCCCCCTTTTTTGGAGAGGTTTTTGCTATAGGATGTGTGTGCTCACTCTTAAGACAGAGACAGAAAGCGAGAGACCACCCCCAGGGGGGATGGACACGCCACAATCCCTTCTGCTCCCTTCTCCTCTTGGGATCTTGGACACGCATGCACACGCGCCTGGCGTGTTTACGCCGGTAGGTCTGGGACGTGAACCCCGGTTGACTACTGAGAATCCAGCAACGTAACCATTACGCCACCTGCTGGTCCCTGTTCCCTGTCCCCTCTTGACCCCAGGCCAGCGCCTCCCCAGTCCCTGAGTGGGGAGCCAGCACAGCCGACACCTACCTCAGACACGTTGATGCTCCACATGTTGCTCCGGACCTTCGGGGCGGCCAGGGCCTTCAGACGGCTGGATGCCTGGTACTCCAGGGTGGGACGCGGGATGGGCCAGATGGGAGTCGTCCTAGAGGACCCCCAGGTTAGTCCGCCACCCGGCCGAGGGGGCTGGTGTCTGTGTGTCTGTACTTTCTCAGCTCCCATGTTCTGGGCCAGGGGAACCTTATAGGCAAGCGGAAGGTTCCAAAAATATCCTGGGTTTTGCTGAGAGCCCCTAACAGAAGCTCTGTGAGTTTCTAAGGGCAGGGCTTCCCTCCAAGGCCGGCCCAGCTCAGTGGGGTGGTCACAGGTCAGGTGCCTGCCTCAGGACCTGAGAGGTGAAAGTGCCGGTCCCATGGCCAGCATGGGAAGTGGGGACTGTGAACCCCACAAGCCACAAAGCCCACACCTCAAACTGGGCCTCAGCTACGCCTGTCCCCCAAGTACGGCCATGTGTCTAAGTCCCAGGCACACCTGCGTGGTCCAGGCGCATCTGAGGTTGGGTCCGGGACTTAAACCAACTTGTGGGTGCCATCAGCAGGGCGCCACGGTGCTGAGGCAACTGCTCACACGGGTCTGGTCCCCCCACGGGAGCCTCGACTCTACAGGTGTGAAGAGCAGCTGCCTCTGAACCGGCTCGGGGCACAGTGTGAGTCCGCCCGCATGGACGCGGCACACAAAGGGAACCAGGAAGGGCCCGCCGGCTTGCCAAGACGAGGGACTGAGGGGATCACCCCGCTGCCACTGCCAGGTGTATTCTCTGCATCATGAGGGTGGGCAGTTAAATTTGGGTCTAGACCTTCATGGCTCCTGAGAATTAGTGATTTCAGGGGAAAAAGAGAAATGAAGATTTTCTACTGATAATTCAGCCTCCAGCCCACAAACTCGAGTGGGAGGAAGTCCCTCAAGCCTTTGCTCTGTCTCTGTCTCTGTCTGTCTTCTCATTTTTTTTGGTAATTTTTTCTTTTTAAAATCTTTAAGGTAAAGTGTTTTCTCAGCTTTCAGCCCCTCCTTTACCTTGATCTTGCTACCCCCTCCCTCCCTCCCACCCAGGAGAGGCAAGAGGCAGGCCTTCAGAAGAAGACACCTCCATGGATCCTGAGAACTAGTGATTTCACGCAGCACACAAGTATGCTGCACAGTTTTCTATTTTTTGCTTTTTTAAAAAAAATTTTTGTGAGTTGTTTTTACATTTCTTCCCTTATTTTTTTTCTCTGTTTCTTGGGTGTTTTTTTTTTTTCTCTCTCTCTCTCTGTTTCCTTTTCTTTTTATTTTATCTCATCTCTCTGCTCTTCAATCTCCATTCACTGTGTTTCTAGATGGATCTAAGGGAACTACAACCAAACATCCAAATACTATTAGGGTTAACATATTCTTCAATATCCACTGAATCTCGGCACAAAGGGATCAAAACGGAACGGCAAAGAGATTCCAGATCACCTCCTTCTGCCCGCTCCTGAACGCTCAGATTGAACTTCAAGCTTAGGAAGAAACACACCATCCCTCACATGACTAGAAATCACCACAGGGCCACAAGGAATATGAGAAAACAAGAAAATACCTCTCCTCTGAGGGAGAAGAGTACTTCTCTTCATCCACAGACAGGTCAATGGGAATCATGGAAATGTCTGGTAAGGAATTTAGAGCATTCATAATGGCGAAGCTAACAGAGATGGAAGAGAAGAGAGACAATGAACTGCAGAAGAGACAGGAGAAAGGAGCTGATGAGTTCCAGGAGGTGAGGAAATTCTTGCAAGATCTAAAAGAGGAATTACACACTTTACAAAGGAATCAAAGGGACCTGTTAGAGATGAAGGCTATAATACAGGAAGTCAGAATCTCCCTTCAAAATATTAAAAGCAGACTAGATCATACAGAAAATAGAATCTCAGACGCAGAAGAGAAAATTGCTGACCTAGAAAAATCCACCACAAAGACTGAGAAAATGGCTCCAAAAATGAGACTAATATACGAGAAGTACTAGATACCATCAAACGTCCAAACATCTGGATAAAGGCATCCCGGAAGAGAAGAGACTCATAAGGGTATTGATAATCTATTCCATGAAATCCTGCAAGACAATTTTCCAAACCTACAGAAGCACTCAAAGATCCAGTCCCAGGAAATACAAAGGACCCCAAATAGAATCAACCCAAGAAGATCTTCTCC